GCTTATCCTCCATTTTTAATGGTCACTTTTAGGACAGACAGACATGCTCACACTGTCTCCAATCATGGGACTTGTCTTCAGATAAAGTTGAGTGCAAATTGATGTGGAGCTGATCTACTTGAAGTTGGGAGGGGTTGAGAGTCCCACCTCCTCCCCTCCGGCCCACCCTCCATCCCCAACCAGGTAGTTTCCCATCACAGAGCTCCCAGGTCAGCACAATGACATTTGAAAGTCACTGTAATAGACCATGATATTAATTATCTACAACAGCACGGTCTTCCAGCTTCATGACACTTTTAATTGTTTAATTTGACTTCCTTCCAATGTAAACTCTCTGAGAACAGGCCCTGTATCTGGCTTGTTCACCCCTTCCCCCAGCTTAGTGCAGTGCCTGACGCACATAATTATTTGTTGCAGGCAGGTAGGGAAGGACAGAGGAAGGGAGGGAAATTGCCTGACTGTGTAGAAGGAGCAAGGAGTATAAATGAGAACTGAGCTCCTAGCTCACGTCTGCCTCTGTCTTATCAAGTCAGGTAAACTTTCTTGACCTCAATACTTTTACCTATGAAGTGGGGATACCTCAATGTTCCTTCCATCTCTAATATCCCATGATTCAGGATCCATATCGTTATTTTATGCTACCTTCATGTTATTAAGAAGATACTTCTGGGAGATCTAAGGAATTTTTTCAATGTAAAACAAATTTTAACTTTTTATTAAACAAAAAATAGCACCTGGCTGGATGTTAACATTATATCTATCTGTAATTAAATCATGATTATATTTCTCTCTTGTTAAAAACATTTTTGTTGCCACGAGACCTTGGAATTTTCTTAAATAGAAGTTCACTACTTGAATTAAATAGCAACTGAAGTTAGTGAATGAGAAAAATGAGAGGCATAAACACAACAAAAAGTAACTGAGATTTATTTCTGATTTTTGGTGCCTTTCTTAAGCCAAGGCTGTATTTTAAAAATTAGAACATCATTCTGTGTATTATCTTTCATGTGGTGAGATTGAAATATCACATTTTATTATCTAGGTCCATATCTTTGCCTGGGAGTCCCTGAGTGGCACAAATGGTTAAG